TTTTGCAACAATCTAATATGTGTTATTTCCTCATGTTTAGTTTTTATCAAAAATGTGGGTTGGCAGTAAATGTACTTCAATAGCACCAACCAATAGCAATGAAACCCCGCAATTTCCCCACAACATTTAGCAAAGCCCTCCACAATTTCCCGCAAGATTTGTAAAGCCCTCTGCAATTTTTTACAAAAATGGCCTCACTTTTCTGTTGGCCCTGCTCATAGCTCATTCCTCCAACACTGGGGATCATCCTATCTGGGGGATTATTGTCCAGGAAACTGGGAGAAACTCCCTTCTCTTTTTCAATCGTGTTACATCCACCTGAACAGGCAGAGAGGTGATAAGCAAATTTAAAGCATTTGAAATAAGTAACTTTAGGCACTTCCTGCCCTGGCCAGCGCTCCGCTAATTAATGTGCCCGCTGGTTAAGTGAGACCTGTGCTCCAAGGCTGCCAGTCACTGACCATCCTGGGGTCCAGACCTGCTGCTTGATGCCAGGTTATCAACCAATTCTAACAACAACAAATTACATTTGTATAGCGCCCTTTACGTCGCGAGGTTGTCCCAAGGGGCAGGATAGTCAAGGATTTACACCCAAGTTAGAGTTGGGATCAGGAGGGCTGGAGGGTAGGAGGATGACCAAAAGTGTGATTGAAGAGGAGGATCTCGAGACAGGACTTGAAGGAGGCAAGGGAGGGGGTGAGGTGAAGGGACTTTGGGATTGAGTTCCAAAGGATGGGGCAGAGAGACTGAAGGTCTGACCACCTATGATAGGGAGGGCTGGGCAGGGGGAGCAGGCCCATTTACATCTCTAGCGTAAGCTGATCCTAACCAAATCCACCATTAAACCATAAATATTTGACAGCTACAAAGAGATCAGCCTATCTCACTCTTTCTCTCTCCTTTTCTCTCTCTGTCTTAAACACTCCTTCGTTCAGTTGTAATAAAAGCTTTAGCTTTGAAAGCCTCGATGGGGAGGGACAGTATCAGGCTAATAGTTGTTTTTGTGAGTTATTTTAGGCAACTTGCCACCAGACTGTGGAGGTTCATCTCCTCAATCAGTCAGGGACGTATATAAATAGCTTACACTAGAAACACACACCTCAAACACAGCGCTAGCTCGTCCCTTCCCACAGCCCATAACCTCGCTCCCCACAGCCTCCTGCAGGGTTTTGTTCTCGTGCGATTCAATCACTCTGCCATGTGTTCTCTGTTGGATCTGGAGGTCAGGGAGATGGTGTTTGTGGTCACATCTGTCTCCTCAGTAACATTGCCATCATTGCCAATCTCATTAGCTGGTGTCTGTAGTGTCCTGTAGTGAAGTGGTTAGAGCATTCGTAAGCGAGAGAACTTGGGTTTGATTCCCAGCAGAGCGAAACCTTGGGCAGGTTTCCTTACACCACACGCCTCTGTTTATCTAGCAGTAAGTAGGAATGCGGTTGTTAGTCGATTGGCAGATCGCTTTCCAGGGGTAATAATCCCTTCAAAAATACTACTAATAATAATTTGGTCACTCAATCCATGACTGTTTGTGGGACACTGCTGTGCGCAATTGGCTGCCGCGTTTCGCCCACAAAAGTACAGTCAGTTCACTTTAAGGTGTATTCTGTGAAGCGCTTTCAGGCGTTTCGAAGACGTGATAAGGTGCTATATCAAATGCAAGGATTATTATTAAAGATTATAAAAGCCAGGTGGAAGCAGCTGACCTGTGTTATTGAGTTGTTCTCTTTAGTGAGGGCTAAGATTCACTTTCCTGATTTGTGTAGCATTGCCGTGCCCGGTAAGGATGAACGACAGGCGAGTAAAGCTCTTCCGGCGAATCATACTTACAAGCTACGGAGATCAGAGCCACAGTGACGCTGTCCAGTACTGCCACTTATCGCTTGTGATAGTCCTCCTCGCTCCTGAGCAAACACACGGCCAGGCTGGCGTCACCCTGGCTCAGATGGTAGCATTCTGGCCTGTGGCTCAGAAGGTTCGGTGTTCAAGTCTCATCGTGACTTTGGGCTCACGTAGCATCAGGCTAACACTCCTGACCGACAATCCCCCCTGATAAACCGCTCAATCATCCCATAGCTGTTTGTGAGACATTAGTGTAAGCAAATTATCCTCGGGGGTTGGGGAATAAGTAGAGTCTTCTTGGAGCTGAAAAAACTCATATATTACTGGAGGGGGCACTTGGGAGGGGGGGCTTTATGTTACTGACTGAAGGGGCTATCTATTAATGACCATCTCCATTAATGACTGAGTCGCTGTATTAATGACTGGAATTCGCTCTATATTAATGACTGGAAGTCTCTCTCTTAATGACCGAGGTCTCTATAATTACTCTATTCTTTGGTCAATTGTTTTGGCAAAATATAGACTTGGAACTGGCAGACGAATTTGAACATCATTATTGTGTCCTGCGCCAGTGGTCAGGGACTAGTGCTCCCCCATTAGACCTATCGCACTTACCCATCTGCGATCATGTTTTATTTGCTTCATTGTAATTGCTCACTCCAGACTCTTAAGAATGATCATTTGGCTCCGACCTCATTCTGTAAAACACAACGTCGCGGCACAAACTCTCCAGGCTGTTTGATTGTTGATAACGGACGCTGTAATAATCTGGCAAGGAGCCCTGAAATGTTTCAGATTTCGCTTGTTACTGGAGCATTGAGTGAAGAAACGGACGTAAAATAACAAGGGTTAGTAGCTCACTGAGAGTTTTTTTTTCTTCCCTCCCCGGGACTCCACCAGAGTTTCGCCCACAAAATACACACTTTACAATATATTCTGTGAAGCGCTTTGAGATGCCTCAACGATCTGATAAGGCACTATATCAAACAAAATTACATTTATAGAGCACCCAAAAGCAAGGATTATTAATATTATGACTATCAAATTGTTGTAAACTGACAAGAGAATGGGCTGAGGACCCATGTTAATGAAAATAATAATAATCCTTGCATTTGGTACAGTGCCTTTCAAGTCGGGAGCATGTCTCAAAGTGCTGTACAGGGCTAACTGAGAAGGGAAAACCCATTCTGAAGACATATAGCCAGGAGGTCACTATAATTACAGCTCCATGTAAAGTTGCCCCAATGTTAAAATTCCCTTTACCCTCATTTACACATCAAATTTCCCCTTAAATCCTTGGATGCCATTTGTTTCAACCATAGCTTCCGGCAATGAGTTCCACATCCTCATCACCCTCTTGCGTAAAGAAGTTTCTCCTGAATTCCCCAGTAGATCTAACATTGGCTAGCATATAACCTCTAGATTTGGACTCACTACCAAGGTAAACAGCTGATCAGCATTCACCTTTTATGGAATGCTTTCATAATCCTAAACCAGACTTATCAGGTCCGCTCTCAATCATCTCAACTCTTAGAGATCTCCAATCTATCCAACCTTTTTTGATAGCTGTGTCCACTCATCCTTGTTAATGTCCTTGTGACCCACACTGTACTCTCTCGATTGCACTTTACTAATAAGAGATAAAATTTAAATCCTGAGGTGCACTTTTCCCTGCATCAGGACACCATTTTCACAGATGTTGAGCCTCACGAGTGATTTTTCAACCCTCCCCAATTGTGAACCAGCCTTTATCACTTACAGCTCTGCTCAGTATCTGACAACTGTGTAAAATAAGCAAAGCTGAAATGAAAGCACTTTATCCCCTCACTTCTCCCACTGTTTACACTTCACGTCAACCAGCAGCAATGCTTGCAAGGCCAAACATCACAGAGAAGCATTGTCATAAGATATGTTCGCTTGTTAGAAAGAAATTCCTGCTGTAAACAAAAGAAAGGGCGAGACAACATTTTTATGGCGTCTGATCACTTTGAAACGCCCCAGAACACTTCACCAAGTAATTACTGTTAAGTGTACCATGTGTTTGACCAAACATGTTACACTTAACAGTTGACACAGCAACAATTTGCATTTATGTGGCGCCCTTCATGCGGGGCAGCACCTTGGAGCGCTTAACAGTGGCGGAGCCTGACACCGAGCCGGGGGGAGGGAGGAGGTGACTGTAAGCACGGTCGAAGAGGAAGGTCTTCAGTCGTGATCTAAAAGAAGGGAAGGAGCAGGCAACACGGAGGGACTGAAGGGAGAGAGTTCCAAAGTTTCGGGGTGTAGTGGTGGAAAGTGCGGCTTGCCAATGGTGGACACCATTTAACACATGGCAAGCTCCCACAAACAGCCGTGAGGTGAACATTCAATTCATCCAAGGGATTGCTGACTCCTGCTTTTCAAATACAGCGTCGTATCACAATATCTTTAATGTTTAATGTTCCATTGGTAAGAGCAGGTAGACAGAACCTGCGTTAGTGGCACCTTGGCCAACCTCAACCCCACCCCCACCATGACCAGGATCTGTGCTGGAATGTCGATTTAGATTATAAGATCAAATCCTCATTGTGGGGCAGGAGGCGCACAATCTTCAGATCAAGAGCCAGAGCGCGAGCTCCCAACTGCCACCGATGTTCTTGACTTGTAATTTTCAGTTTGACTCGGTTGATAGCACTCTCGCCTTGGGGTCAGGAGGTTGTGGGTTTAAGCCACACACTAGGATTTGACACGAGACTCCAGTGAAGTCATGTCGGCATTGTCTGCATTGTCAGAGATGCCTTTGATCAAATTGTTCCTGATCTTCTTGTTCCGTACCGCCTGTCACCTTTAGGAAGTGTTTTAAGGTGGTTGTCCCACCTGAATGCCCTATGTAAGTACAGCAGATGGTATAGATGCATTTACTGTTTGTGGGGCATTGTTGTGTGCAATTGGCTGCCGTGTTTCGCCCACAAAATACACAGTCAGTTCACTTTACAGTATATTCTGTGAAACGCTTTGAAACGTCTCAACGACATGATAAGGCGCTATATCAAATGTAAGGATTATTACTACGTGTTTGCTATCCTGGCAGCTCCCGCGTGTCTGCTATCCCGGGAATTCTGACATTCCAGTAAGTTTACTATACCAAGACCCCTGACGTTTCCGTGTGTTTGCTTTCCCAGGAGCTCCGTACTGGGCACGCCCTGACCGGATGGAGAAGAAGCTTCACGCGGTCCCAGCGGCTAACACTGTTCGTTTCCGCTGCGCTGCTGCGGGGAACCCGACCCCCACCATTCACTGGCTGAAGAACGGGAAGGAATTCAAGGGAGAACACCGGATTGGCGGCATCAAGGTGAGCCGTCACCTCCCCACCCACACCTTCCTGTTACCTGGGTCAACAACAACAACAGATTACATGTGTAGCGCATTCTTCACATCGGGAGGACGTCCAAGGTGCTGGGGGACAGTCAGGGTTTTGGACCCGAGCTGGGGGTTGGGATCAGGAGGGGTGGTGGGCAGGGAAGGTAGGGGTAGGAGAGTGACCCAAAGTGCATGGAAAAGGAAGGTCTTGAGACGGGCTTTGAAGGAGGCGAAGGGGAGAAGGCGAAGGGACTGTGGGATTTTATTGTTTTACTTTATATTATTAATTACTATTATTATTAACCTCTCCTGTGATGTTTTATGACGGTGCAGTTTGAGGGTGAATGTGGGACAATTTGCCATGCCTCAACTGGCTGCTGTCATGTGTCAAGTTCTCCAAGACCCTGCCCCGTGTGAAGGGCGCAATATAAATGCAAGTTGTTATTGCTATTCAAGGATTTTGCAGCATTTCAACTTTATAGGCCTTGTATCAAGCGTAAGGATTATTATTAGTAGTAGTATTATTATTATTTGATCGCTCCATATTATTTCCTCGCAAGAGGAAATTTTCAAGGAGGAGATTCAAAGCAAAACACAAGAGCAACAAAGAAAATCTTTATTAAAATAAGAAAAGTTTTGTCTTGTATAGGATCACATGGGACCACTTCTTGTTGGTTCACTCTAAAACTTTTCCAAATAAGCAGACACCTATGTCTCCGTGAATCAGAAGTCTCCAAGCTACGTTTCAGTCTAAAATTCCACTTGTCTAATTAATTAAGTCTTCGCACTCAAATCCTTTTAGGAATCTGTAGTATTTTATAATCCTTCTAAAACTCATGTGATCCTCCTTCCTCACCCCACCCCCCACCCACCCATCACCATTCCCAATTTAACCAACATATAAGACACGGTGCTTTACATGATGCTTCCCCTAACTGAGCTGCCCAACTGTTGTCTCACAGGTGATAGCAGTCTCCAAATGTGTTCCTCTCCTCTTCAGTTTCTTTTCTTCCTTAACAACTCAGGTTGCAATAACTTTGAGCAATAATTAGACAAGCTCTTCAGTCTTGAGAGCTGTGCATCTCAGAGGGACCTTGAGGAGGTGCATAAAATTTTAACCTGCTTACTCCCCAACCCACTACGCGCTGCCTCTGCTTGCCTGGCCTCAGCCTTCTGCATGTCCCTCGTGCCCGCCATTCCACCATCGGTTGCCGTGCTTTCAGCCACTACGTCCCAAAACTCTGGAACACACTTCCTCTATCTCCCAGCCTTTCTCTTTCCTTCCCCATCTTCAGGTGCGACCTGAAGACCTTCCTCTTCGACCGTGCGTATGGTCACGTCCCCTCAGCTCGGCATCATGCCACGACACTGTCAAGCACTCTGGGACACTACTCCACGTGAGATGTGCTATATAATATAAATGCAAGTTGTTGTTACTTAAATTGGATTGAAAAAATAAACCCACAGCAGTACTTTAGGAAGCACTAAGACAGTAGAACAAGAGGACATACGTTTAGAGTTGCAAAGGGCAATATCAAGATAAGAATCAGCAAGTTTTTCTTTACTCAGAGGTTGATTAACTCACTGGACTAATCTTGAGGAGTCCTGTAGCTCAGTGGTTAGAGCACTCACCTCGCAAGCAAGAGGACCTGCCTGTTCAGGTGGACTTTGGAGATCCCACGACATTATTGGTAATCATTGACTGATCAAGGAGATCTATTTACTCTCCCTTTTGCTTTCTCCTTTAGCTCCGGCACCAGCAGTGGAGTTTGGTGATGGAGAGCGTGGTGCCCTCGGACCGAGGCAATTACACCTGTGTGGTGGAGAACAAGTATGGCCGCATCACACACACCTACCAGCTGGACGTGCTCGGTAAGTGATCAGAGCCTCGCACAGTCCTCACAGAGGACAGGAGCCAAACACCCATCAAATGTCAAGCTCGCTGGCTTTTCTTAACGTGAGCCACCAAGTCTAATCCACACTCCTGCTTGCTTCCCCCATTCCCTTTAATATTCCTCTTGTTTTAGGGCATCTATCATTGACACGCGACTGTTTGTGGGACACTGCTGTGCGCAATTGGCTGCTGCGTTTCGCCCACAAAATACACAGTCACAACACTTTACAGTATATTCTGTGAAGCGCTTTGAGACATCTCAATGATATGATAAGGTGCTATAATGAATGCAAGGATTATTATTATTATTATCTAAGTGAAAGAAAGAGATAGCAAGAGAGACCAAGAGAATGTGTGAGAGAGAAGGAAACAGAGAGGGAAAAATAAAAAGAGATAAAAGAGAGAAAGGTACCCTCCGAGTGGTCAGAGACCTGCACCGCGCAAAGGGCTTGAAGCAGGTCGTGGAGACAGCCTCTGGACACATGGGCAGGGGACAACACAGGGACATCCAAGGAAAGGAAGAGAAGAGGGAATCAACGTGGAAGTGTTTTAAATTACAGTGATTTTACTATTAATGTGAAACCCACAATAATTACTCTGGTCTGTAATAACAGTCATTTACAGTCTGTTTAAAGGTAATTGGAGAAAATTGGACCGTGCAAGTCCCTGGGGACCCAGCAATAAATAGCTACAGAGCCAGTGACCCGCTCACTCTTCCAGGGTGAAGCGTGAGGCGTTTCAGAACACATGATAACCATCACAAGGAGAACGTAATGTGGAATTCCACTGTTTCCATCCCCGCAGTTTTGTATCTAGGCCGCAGGAAGCCATCCACTCAAGGGTACTGTTCTTGCAAGTAATGCTAGCAGGTCCTGGGATGTTCCGGGTGTTGCGGTGGGGGGTCATTACACTGGAAAATGGCCAATCAAAGTGCCCTGCATCCCAGTATAGTGACTGTCTGTTTTCTGGGCAATTTTATGACAACCAATTTGCAGTGTGTGTGTACTACAGTCTCCTGGCAACTGGTCGATCCGAGGAGATGAAATGCACCCACCCAACCTGTATATAGTGAGGATAATAACAAAATTACTGACATGAAAGGGGCTACACAAATGCAATTTTGCTGTTGTTGTGTCGGAGGTACCGTCCTTCGGATACGACCTCAAACAGATGCCTCGTCTGCCTGTTTAGGTGGATGTTAAAGATCCTATGGTGCTATTCGAAAGGAGAAAGGAGTTTCTCTCTCTTGGTGTCCTGGAAAACAATCCCCCAGATAAAATTGGTCACTCACTCCATGGCTGCCTGGACGACATTGCTGTGCACCACTGGTTGCTGCTTTTTGCCCACAAAATAGGCAATTAATCACTTAACAGTATATCCTGTGAAGCTTTGAGACGTCTCAATGATGCGGTAAGGTGCTATATCAAATGCAATTATTATTATTTTAGTGAGTATAATAATAAAACAATATAATCTTATATTTGGTATAGTGTCTTTCACACCCCTAAAAGCTTCACAGGATTTACTGTAAAGTGTAGTAACTGTGTCAGTTTTCTGGGCGATCGCACCAACCAATTTGCACACAGCAACAGCCCACAACCAGTCATGAAGGGTGGGGAGGGGGGGCGCGAGGAAACCTGGATAAGGATCTAATCCACTGGGGGAACACAATAGCTCCTGTGGTGCTGGCATCCGACTGAGTCACTGAAGGAATGCAGCAGGTCAGAGTTGTCAGATTGGATTAATGCCCTGGAATTTCTCTTCAATTAGCTTTGGGAATTGAGAGAAATTTCACGTGAGTCTTTATCTTCTTGGTAGCGGAGCTCATAAGTTTGTTCCCTCATCACCATCTCTCATTCCCCCTCTCCCTCTCCCCAAACCACACAACACTCCTCCTGGAGATTGATGGGTCCATTACCCCTGCTCGCTTTACACTAGCAACGTTTTACAATGAGATTAGAATCCTATTAGAAATGCGTAAGCACTAGACGACAGGATGTAACGGGGAAGGTGTGGCTTGGTTTGCAGAGCGCTCTCCCCATCGGCCGATCCTGCAGGCGGGGCTACCGGCCAACCAGACGGTGGTGGTGGGCAACGACGCGGAGTTCCACTGCAAGGTCTTCAGTGACGCTCAGCCTCACATCCAGTGGCTCAAGCACGTGGAGGTGAACGGCAGTAAGGTGGGGCCGGACGGGACGCCCTACGTCATGGTCTTGAAAGTAAGTAAGAAGTGGGTTTGGTCCGGGCTATGGGGAAGCGATTCTAAAGTTACCCCTCCCCCCCCCCCAGTGCCGACACCAGAGACGTGACTGATCAAGAGCAGGATTAAGTCACGAGAGGTTCAGGTGATGGATGACCCCATTTCATCTCACCCTCCTGCCTTTCCCAACCCAGCTTCAAACTGCCTCTTGGTTCATTCAAGCCCAGGGTCTGGGCCTCATTCACCCTTCCCAGGGGGCCCTCAGTGGGGGAGAATGGAAATAAAACCTGTTTTATCTGCTTCGAGTTGCAAAAAGTGACTCCTTTACAGGGGGGCGCGGGGGAGTGTCCTCACATTGGGAGCTGCTTAACAACCCTGGCTTGGCACCCCCAAGCTGGGGGTGGGAGCCGAGGAGGGTGCGGAGAGGGAAGTGCAGTCAAAGAGGTAATCTTGTGACGGACCTTGAAAAAGATGAGGGAGGAAATGAGTCGGAGGAACTCTGGGATGGAGATCCAAAGAGTGGGGGCAGAATGGTTGTCAGTCGGAGCGGGTAGGGCGGGAGACATGAAGCAAACCGGAACCCACTGAGCAAAGGGAAACACACAGGTACAGGCACCCACTCCCCCACCACACACACACACATTCTCCGACACGATTTGGTTCCGGAGTTCAGCACCCCCCCCTCAGGATTTGGACTGGAGGCAACAGAACAAAAACAAAGGCGAGAACGTTTGTTTTAAAAAAAACACAGGAATAAAACATACCATCGGACAGACTTCAAGCGCTCTGGGACGCTGCCCTGCGTGAGGGGCGCTATATAAATGCAAGTTGTTGTTTAAGCCCTTCATGTCTGTTTTGTTCGAGCTCTAGACATTGGATGCTGAACAAACTCCTTGTCCTTTGCAACGTGAACCTTAGGTTAAGGGAACATCACAGGCAATAATCAAAGTCGGGGAAAGTTGTAAGCAGGAAGTGCTGTGGAATGTGCTCTGTGGCTACGAGAGGAGTTTTTTCAGTCGCTTGGGTGACTCCAGAGCAAGCAATGACTTCACCCAGGCACTGCTTAACAAGCAGGGGAAGAAAGAATTAACTTGTGTTTTTTGAACAACCTTATGATAATAATTATTATGACAATAATCATCATCATGTTTGGTGTAGCACTTTTCATGTTGGGAGGATATAGCACTTCACAGGGCTTTCCTGTAAAGTGCAGTGACTGTGCTTTTGTAGGCGAAAGCGACTGCTAATTTGCACACCGCTGTGTCCCACAAACAGCCTGGAGTCAATGATGATCTCCAGAAGAGTTGTTGTAATGATCCTTGCAATTGCAAGCTGTTTTTCTCCCCGCCCCACCCACCCCAATTCTTTTTAATAATTGGCTTCCAAATTAACATTAATAGCATTCTTTGTATTTCATATGGTCCCTACAACTTCAAAACATCTCTGGGTGCTTCACAGACACTGCTGTAGAGTGTAGTAGCTACTAGCCGTGTATTTTGTAAACAACCCTTTTTTCCATGCGGCGATGTCTCACAAACAACCGTGTTGTGAACTATCATTTTTATTAATCTGGGTTATTACCATCCAGTGATGCCTCCTGCAGCAGCTGTTAGTTTTTAGACCATTATGTTGCTGGGAAAGACTTGGGAGACTGAAAAGCTGGGTGAACAAAAGCAGCAACGTGCATTTATATAGCGCTCTACACATGGAGCGCTATATAATGTACAGTGACTCGGAGCGCTTAAAAATGACACCAAGCCGGGTAGAAGTGAGAGTTGACCATAGGCACGAGTGAAGCGGAAAGTCTTCAGGTGTGATTTGAAGACTAGCAAAGAGGGGGTGAGGGGGAGGGATTGAGGCAGGGAGTTCCAGAGGGTCGGGGATGTCGTGGCTGAAAGCACGGTTACCATTGGTTTCCAATAATCCTGAAGGGGAGTTTTTTCCGGGCACCACAGAGTGCATTCCAGAGCAACGAGGACTAATAATAGTAATAATCCTTGCAGTTGATGTGGTGCCTTATCATGTCTCAAAGCACTTCACAGAATATACTGTAAAGTGAATTGACTGTGTATTTTGTGGACAAAATGTGGCAGCCAATTCGTACAGCAGTGTCCCACAGACAGTTGTGGATTGAGTGACCAAATTATTATTATTTATTAACTTAAAAAAATTTTTTTTAAGAGATTATTACCCCCAGAAAGTGATCCAAAATTGAGTTTGGTTTGCTGGCTGGGTGTAGTTAGCACATGACAAGAGATGATAACAGCTCTGTGTGATCTGTCCCTTGCAGTCGTGGATAAGTAATACAGCTGAAGCGAACGTTAAGCTCCTTCTTTACAATGTGACAGAACTGGACCAGGGCGAGTATCTATGTCGAGCCACCAATTTTGTTGGCTCGGCTGAAAAGCCCTTCTGGCTGTACGTCGCTGAACCGAAACCAGGTAAACGCGAAACTCTGTCCCAGGCACTGGAAACCCCAAATCTGACCTTTATAACCCCCTCCTCATCATCACCTCCTCCAACTCCTTCTCCACCCTGGAACCAAGAAAAACTATTCAACTGCTGCAAACTTCCCAGCCAAATCTAGTGTAACCCTCTCCGCTTTGCCTGCCATGCTTAATCTGCTGCTTGTTGCATTGAAATGTTCCCACAGTACGAGAAGATTGCATTCTTCCCCTCCAACCTTGGCCCCCAAATTCCTCAAGGCCTTAAATCTTGGGACCGTTACCTTAAGAGTTTCTATGTGTGCGTATTTGGGGGTGGTGGGTGGGGTGGCGGGGGGGGGGAGTTGTGCAGCAATTTTTGTGCTAATTCTTCAACCCAGCCTGAATTCTGAAGCAACCCAGATCTTAATAATAATAATAATAATAATCCTTGCATTTGATATGGCACCTTATGTCATTGAGACGTCTCAAAGTGCTTCACAGAATAGTGGATTGACTATATTTTGTGAACGTCTTAAAATACGACTTTAATTTTAAAAGATCGTATTCTTTAAGGTCTGCCTTTCAAATTAAGGTTATATTTTAAGAATTGGCCAAAATGTTTCGCAGGCTGAAGTTTCGCAGGCTGAAGTTTCTACGGCAACGGTCTCAGGGCTAAACCCAGGTTGAATTTGGGGCCTGAATGTTATTTTCTTTCTTTCCGCCCCCTTTCTATTTTAACCACACTTTACAAACGACAGGCACCAGTTATGTTGACTGGCTTGCCAGCTCATATGCTTTCACCTCACTGCTCCCTGGTCCCTAAACTGCTACCCTCTTACTTTATCCTAACCACCCCCCCCTCCCCCTTAAATTCTACCACCCCGGTCTGAGCAGACAGACCGACACTTCCTTGCTGGCTGGCTGAAGCAATCCAGAGTAATTGTGCGTCATTTTTCAGTGCTCACGTGCTTGCCTAACAATGGGACAGAGAGAGTGAGAGCCTGGTGAAGGGAAACGTTTGGTTGACTTAACATACAGGTCACAAAAAATTTGCTGTCAGGTTGGTGGCGGGCAGGTTCATTAACCGAGGTGCTCTACTTCTTGTTCCATCTCATTGTCTCATTGGTGGTTTGGTTTTATTGGTTCTCCTTCTGTCCTTTCTGTTTGGTGTCTTTTTTCTCTTGTAGACGGCTGGTATTAACACTACGGATAAAGAAATAGAAATTCTGTACTTGCGAAATGTTACTTTTGAGGATGCGGGGGAGTATACCTGCTTGGCTGGTAATTCTATCGGTTATTCCCATCATTCTGCATGGCTCACCGTCCTGCCAGGTATTTCTGCTCTTTCGTTCCTCTTTCGGTTGTGGTGGGTGTCTGTTTCTCCCTGGGCTTGAAATTTCCTGCTTCCTCGTACTGATTGCATCCGGTGTAAATTGTTCAAAGGGAAACGTGACATCAGGTCCCTTTCTCTTTGTCGCTGTTCAATTTTTGTTCCTCTTCCTCGTCTTTCACTTCCTCCTCCTCCATCTTCTCCTCCTCCACCACCCTTCTCCTGCCTCCATCTCCATCCTTCCTCCAGGACCAAAATATCCCACAATGTGACAATTATCACATATCGCATTTTGTCGCCCTGCCCCCTCCCCAAAAGATCTGATTAGATGACATTGGTGTTTAAAGAGTATGGACCCGGTGTCACCTGAGAGGTGACGCCCCATTCTCTCGGTGGGACGAGCTCCTTCGCAGGTGGGGAGGGTAACCAGGCATTCCCCTCCATCCCTTCAGTCACAACTTTGTGTGAAGTAGTCACTCCCCCTTCACTCCTATCCATATCTCCATCTCCACCCCCCCACCCACCCAGGGGAAAAACTTCCATTTCCGCTCGTTACAGTCAGTTAATGTGATGATGTTTTACAATTTAATGTTTGTGTGTATCTAATGTGTCAAGGGATGGGACCAGAAGGTGAAGGTGCTGCCTGGTGTAGGGTACAGCGTCGCCACTAGGTGGCGTGCTGATCTCCTCGCTCCACAGCAGCATGTGAGAGAGACACGGGTGAACATTTCACCTCTAACCGTTCAGACGATCACGTGGCTTTCTCCTTCACGAGCTGAAGTGAGCCCCTCGCTGACTGGTTCTCTGCCGCAATGAATCACTGGCTCGGTGCCAGAGATAGCGGGGCATTGGGATGAACAGATCTGCCAAGATCTGATGAATTGGTGGAACAGGCTTGATGGGCTGAAATGGCTTCCTCCTGCTCCTGTTTTCCTAGAGAGTCTTGCTGCCTCTTTAACCTGGTGTCTCACTAACAACTGCCTTGCCCGCAGCAGAAGAGCTGGTGAAGGAGGATAACTCGGGGTCAGTCTACGCTGACGTCCTCATCTACGTAACGGGCTGCGTCCTTATCATACTGACTGTCATCATAGTCATTATGTGCAGAATGAGGACATCCTCCAAGAAAGCTCTGAACCCACCTCCGGTCCAGAAACTCTCCAAATTCCCACTCAAGAGACAGGTAACAGAAAGTAGATACAAGAGTTCAGACAGTCTTACAACAATAATTCGTATTTATATACATTTTCTCCTGCACCAGGCTCCCCACACACCCATCCTCCTCAACCCCCATCCTAGCCACTGGTTTCCCAATTCCACAACAGCTCGAATTTATGATTCTCATCCTAATCTTCAGGGCCATTCACTTTTCACACCTTGAGGCTTCACTCATAGGAACATAGGAATTGTTTGATGAAAAGTTCAATGTCCATGTAGTTCACCTTCAATCATCCTTGTAGTCAAATGCTACAATAATGGAGATGTTGACAGCAATTAATTCTATCTTGATTAGACTACAATAGAGTGGAAAGCATTTGAGAACCTTAGATCCAAAGTTGCCTGGTTCTTCCAAGCCATACTGCACTTACTATATGTCATGTCTCAAATTACTTATATACTGTATCCAAAATACTATTTTCTAAAAGAAATCTAGCTATTTGAATGATCAACATTTTCTGCTTCCACTGTCTCCCTAGAGGGGCTGTTCTGTAGATTTATCACTTTCTCACTGAAATAATGTTTCTGCAGATTAGTTTTACCCGCCCTTCAATCTCAGGACATATCCTCTGGTTCTATGTTTGGGAACACCTTGCCTTCCAAATCCTCTTTGATCGTGCCTTTGGTCAACACCCTGTAAGCTCCCTTGATTTTCCTCCCGGCTCCTTGATCCCCAGCATCTCTGTGAAATATCTCAAGACATTCATCCTACATGACAACACTATATATTTGTCAGCAACAAGTTGTATTTACATAGCGCCCCCCTCACGCAGGATAGCATCTCGGAGATCTGTAAAAATGTTTGTGGCATTTTATTTTCTTTATATTAATAAGCATTGAATTCATCCTCTAGTTCTAAGACCTTTTTGGTCACTGATGAGTGGTGTTTGCAAGTAGGTACGTGGAGTAAATCCAAGTCTCGGGAAACACTCTCCAAATTGCAACCTTCTCTCCCTCTCTTTGTCTCCATTTCTGGTTAAGATTGTGCATAATATAGAAAGGGAGTGTGACATATTTCATAACAGATTCCACAGATATAATTGTCAACAATTTCAGGTTTGACCATTTCCCCCCCCTCCCCCCTCCTCTCCCACCGGTATTTTGGCACAATTGTAGGGCCCGCAAATCTCTGCCCCTCGAAGTTCAAATTGTCAGCAAATAGGATGGCGTTGCTAACTCGGAGGGTCATTGCAGTAACTTACACTGATCGGTAACAAATGTGAATTGTTTTTTCATTCAAGCAGGTGTCCTTGGAATCCAATTCCTCCATGAATTCCAACACCCCGCTCGTACGCATCACCCGCCTATCCTCCAGTGACTCACCCATGTTGGCCAACGTCTCCGAACTGGAACTACCCGCCGATCCCAAGTGGGAGTTTCAACGCTCCAGGTTACTGAATACTCATCTTAATGTTAATATTGGCTGAAAAGAGATCAAGTTCCACTTCCCACACAACCCCCCCACTCCCCCAACATACACACACGCACGCGCACACATGACCCCGGAGACAATACCCCAGAAAAAGTGAGATCACTCACTTTGTGGCTGTTTGTAAGATTTTGCTGGAGCATGAATTGGCTGCTGAGAGAGTGTGTTTGAGAGACAGAGAGCGAGAGAGAGAGAGAAAGAGACTGAAAGAGATAGAGTACAAGAGAGAGAAAGAGACTGAGACACAGACTGAGACACATAGGCTGTGTTTGTCTACAAAACACATAGTCCCAACACTCCACAGCCAATCCTGTGAAGTGCTTTGACATGTAAACAGTGTTATATCAATGCAAAGCTGATATTATTTATCATTGTTATTTAATGTTCTGTTTGCAGACTGACATTGGGGAAGCCACTAGGTGAGGGCTGCTTTGGGCAGGTGGTGATGGCTGAGGCCATTGGCATTGAGAGAGAGAAGCCCAACAAACCCATAACTGTCGCTGTCAAAATGCTGAAAGGTGAGAGGTTTTACCAACAAATGACATGTGTATAGCGCCTTTCACAACAACAACAACAAGATGTCATTTACAGAGCGCCTTTCACGTCGGGAGGACGTCCCAAGGTGCTGGACAGTTGGATCGGGACCCGAGCAGGGTGAGGGGAGGGGGTAGAGAGTCGAGAGGGGAGCTGAAGGCACGGTCAAAGAGAAAGGTCTTGAGACCGGCCTTGAAGGAGGAAAGGGAGGAGGCGGCGAAGGCACTGGGGGATAGAGTTCCAGAGCCTCAGGGCTGAGAGGCTGAAGGCCCGGCCACCGATGGTAGGGCGGTTGGGGCGGGGGATGTGGAGCAGACCGGAGCCGGAGGAACGGAGGGTACGGGCAGGTAGGTAGGGGGATAGTAGGTCGGAGAGGTAGGAGGGAGCAAGGCCGTGAATGGCCTTGTAGGTGAGGATGAGGATCTTGAATTCGATCCTCTGGGGGATGGGGAGCCAGTGGAGGCGAGCGAGGGTGGGAGTGATGTGGTCCTGGTGCGGGACAGTACACGAGCTGCAGAGTTCTGAATGACCTGCAGCTTGTGGAGGGAGGTGGCGGGAAGGCCGGCGAGGAGAGAGTTCCCATAGTCCAGCCTTGAGGTGATAAAGGTGTGGACCAGAGTTTCAGCAGCGTGAGGGGTGAGGTAGTGCCGTAGTCTGGCGATGTTCCGGAGGTGATGGAAGGCGGTGCCAGTTGTGGTGCGGTTATGAGGAAGAAAGGACAGCTCAGGGTCGAACAAAACGCCGAGGTTCCTGACTGGCTTTGAGAGGTGGAGAGTGCAGCCTTGGATGCTGATGCTGTCAGCGCCTGAGGTGCGGAGGCGCTGACGTGAGCCAATCAGGAGGGCCTCAGTTTTTCGCACGTTGAGCTGAAGAAAGTTGTCTCTCGTCCAGGACTCGATGTCGGACAGTCAGGCTGTCAGGACATCGGTGGTCGTGGAGTTGAGGGTAGAAGAGGAAAGGTAGAGTTGGGTGTCATCCGCATACATGTGGAAGTTAACCCCATGTCTGCGGATGATGTCACCAAAGGGGAGCATATAGAGGGTGAAGAGGAGGGGACCGAGGACAGAGCCCTGAGGGACACCGCACGAGACAGTGCGGGGGCCGGAGGAAAAGCCGTTTGTGGAAACAAAATGAAGACGGTGGGACAGGTATGACCTAAACCACTCAAGGACAGGGCCTTGAAGGTTGAGGTGGGAGGACAAGCGGTGGAGGAGGACAGCGTGGTCGACCATATCGAATGCGGCCAATAGGTTGAGGAGGCAGAGGGAGCCTTGGTCGCAGATGGTCAAGATGTCATTAGTGACCTTGACCAGGGCGGTTTCTGTGCTATGGGCAGCACGGAAACCCGACTGAAGGGGTTCGAATAATGAATGGGTGGAGAGGAAAGAGCGCAGCTGGGAGGCGACAACTCGTTCCAGGACCTTGGACAGGAAGGGGAGGTTGGAGATGGGCCGGTAGCTTGATAGCTGCGACGCATCAAGGGAGGGTTTTTTCAAAGTGGGAGTGATGGTGGGGAGCGGCGGGAGGACATTGGGAGGACGTCCCAAGGACAGTCAGGGATTTGGACCCGAGCTGGGGGTTGGGATCAGGGTGAGTGGAGAGCAGGGAGTATGAGGGTAGGAGGGTGACCGAAGGCGTAGTTGAAGAGGAGGGTTTGAGACTTGCTTTGAAGGAGGCACGGGAGGGAAGCAAGGCAAAGGGACTCTGGGATAGAGTTCCAAAGGGTGGGGGCAAAGAGGCTGAAGGCCCAACCCACGATGGTGGGACAAGCCAGATCCCGCTGTGCAGAGGAAGCGGGCATGTCTGTGTGGATCAGCAAGAGACAATCATCAGGTGATCTCGGGGTGGAGGGAGGGGGTGGGGGCTGGGACCAGCTCAGAGTGAAGTCACGGTTTCAATTTATTTAAATTTATTTAACTTGTTAGCAAATGAGCAAATGGGAAGGTTCGGGGGAATGTTTCACATGTAGAGTAGTTACAACAACAACTTGCATTTATATAGCGTCCTTCACGTAGAGCAGCATCTCGAGCACTTAACAGTGGCAGAACCTCTCACCAAGCCAGGGAGAGGGAGGAGGTGACATAAGCACAGTCGAAGAGGAAGGTCTTTAGTCGTGATCTAAAAGAGGGGAAGGAGGGGGTAAGGTGGCGGGATTGAGGCAGAGAGTTCCAAAGCTTAGCTAAAGGTAAATGGGACCAGAAGGATTGCTCTTAAAGGAGCCAGCATTTGAAGTTAAGTGGCTGAACTGTGCATTCTTTTCCCTTCAGATGATGCTACTGACAAGGATCTGTCTGACCTGGTGTCAGAAATGGAGATGATGAAGATGATCGGGAAACACAAAAATATCATTAACCTGCTCGGGGCCTGCACACAGGATGGTGAGTGCTTGTGGGACACATGGCCTTCACACCCACAGTGCCACAAACTGCTTATTAATGGCTGGAACCTGCCTCCTCGTGAATTTTTAGCCCATTAGTAACAATGGTTGTGTTTGATACAGTGTCCTGTTGTTTGAAAAGACCTCAAAGCGCTTCAGATGATAAATCCTTGGATTTGATATACTACTTTATATAGCACCCTTCACACAGCACAGATCTGAGCGCTGTGGTCAAAGAAGTAGATTCTGAGACGTGTTGTGGAAGAGGGAGGGTATTGGAGGGACTCGAACGAAGTTTCAAAGAACAGGCAGTATGTGTTCTGCCCACACATGTAAATATCCCCGTGTCTCACTCGGTAATGTAACTTGCAGCCTCTCCTTTCTCTTGTCAGGCGCTCTCTACGTCATTGTTGAATATGCATCGAAAGGCAACCTGCGGGAGTACCTGAAGGCACGAAGGCCACCTGGCATGGATTACTCCTTCCACACCTGCAAGATCCCAGATGAGCAGCTGACCTTCAAGGACCTGGTGTCCTGTGCCTACCAGGTGTCTCGTGGCATGGAGTATCTGGCCTCCCAAAAGGTAAGAACACGTTCAACAGACGCATCCTCCAACTGTCCATCAGGCCAGCACTGGGGTTTGTGCTCACATGAGCCACCTAATCCAATGCCGCTCCCCTGCTCACTTTCTCCCTCTCCCCCAGCAACCCCCTCCCACACACACGCCCTTTAATAGTCCTCCACTTCCAGCCTCTGTGGAGACTGTGGACACATAGGAATAGGAGTAGGCCTTTCAGCCATTCGAGCCTGTTCCACCATTCCATTAGACCATGGCTGATGTGTACAAGGTGCCCGGGTTGGTGGGACACATCTCCAATTAATGGTGGGAGTTGCTGTTTGCCATCGTAGTCTATTAGCAAATACCACATTGTAGTCAACCCCACTGCCCCCCCTCCCCCCCCAACCCTACGCACAGGATAAATGTGTTATGTCGGGCTGACCTTGCCCTGGTTTGTTTGCTCCCCTGCGGTCTCGCTGCAGTGCATTCACCGGGACCTGGCAGCTCGCAATGTGCTGGTGACGGATGACAACGTGATGAAGATCGCGGACTTCGGTCTGGCCCGGGACGTGCACAACATCGACTACTACAAGAAAACCACAAACGTACGTGTCTCCGCGACCCTCTCTCGCTGCTTAGTCTTTCAGTCTGCGGAAACCTCATCGCAGTGCCTAAGAGCATCCAAGTCTCCACGTTTGTGGGACACTGCTGTGCAGAATTGGCTGACTCGTTGCTCCTACAAAATACACTGTCACTACATTTTACGGTGTTTGAGACGTCTGAAGGATGTGATAAGACCCTGTATCAAATGCAAGGATTATTATTATATATGTATCTACAAACCAGGCTGCAGAGATCCATGCATCCCACCTACAAGTGGAAATTGCCTGTGTATTATATATAACCTTTCACCTGCCGCTAACTGCAGTGATCGGACGAGCGCAGGTCAAAGCGCAGATTGGATGCAACGTATTACAACGTACCCTAACATAGTGGCCTTCACATAACGCAGTGACCCCCTCTTCCTCTAGAAAGAGACAGAGCTGGATTACTGACCAAGGCGCGCGAGGGGGATGTTTGGCAAAAGCACTTTCAAAGAGACATTTTTCAGTTGGGAGGGTTTTGAAGGCCGAGAGTGGGTGCAAGCAGTGAATGGCCAAGGGATTCCTGGAGAAATTTTGCAGAAAATCACAGATGGTTTCAGCACAGAAAGAGGCCATTCCACCCATCATGCCATTGCCGGGCTCTCTACAAGCTGTTTGTATAGGCCCACTTCTCTACTGTTCCTCGCCCTCCCTCCCCCCCCAACCCATGTACCTACAAAATCCCACAGTCACTACAATTCACAGTAAAATCGTGGAGTCCTGTAGCTCAGTGGTTAGAGCACTCGCTTTGCAAGCGAGAGACCTGAGTTCAATTCCAGGCAGCGCGAAACCTTGGGCAAGTTTCCTTACTCCACACGCCTAATAATAATCCCTCCAAAACAAAAAACAATAAAATTAGTCATTTTCAATCTACGACTGTTTGTGGGACATTGCTGTGTGCAATTGGCTGCCGCGTTCGCCCACAAATATACAGTCAATTCACTTTACAGTATATTCTGTGAAGCGCTTTGGGACGTCTAGAATACGTCAAAAGCACTATGTCAAATGCAAGGATTATTATTATTATAAAATCCTGTGAAAGCTTTGAGCAACTTTGACGATGTAATAAGGGACTGCATCAAACATGCAAGGGTTATTCATTCTTGTCTTATATTTATGTGTGTCTGGATCCATCCATCACTAAAATAGTGTGTTTTATTTCTCCTCTTCCTCCCCCTCCCCTTCCAAATCTAGGGTCGTTTGCCTGTGAAGTGGATGGCCCCAGAGGCTTTGTTTGACCGAGTCTACACTCACCAGAGTGATGTGTAAGTACTGTCCAGAGGAACAAGACAATGCAATTTACAGGGTGTCCACAAAGTCCTGTTACAAAACAGTGATATGAGATTACGGAGGAGCTGAAACAAGTGTTGAAGAGATACATTTCTCCTCATCACGCCATCATGTTACAGAAGATGTCACATCAAACGTTGTGATGGATCATTATCTGCCATGAAAAGGATGGCACTCACACTCACCGATCCTCTATGAGGATCTAAATACAGTTAAACACTTGCACTGAATACAATGAAGTGCTTCTAAACACAATTATCATCATTCTTCCACATGTTTCAGTTGTTGGTCAGTGCACTGCGTAAAAAAAAACATGGGGCTAACAGGACTTTGTGTACACCCTGTATATTTTCACAGCAGCTTTCACGATGGGGTGGGGGGGAGGAGCAACAGACATCTTAAAGTGCATACCACTCACTGCTGGCTGGTACCCAAGCTGAGGATGGAAACCAAGGTCTCCCATTTATAAGGTGGGGGGAGCCCGAAAGCGCAAAGGAAGTGGTATGTCACACACGCCCCCCACCACACTTGGGGAGGGATGGAGACAATAATTTTAAAATGTTCCAACAATTGTTTTGTGTTCCTCTCTCCCCAGCTGGTCATTCGGTGTGATGTTGTGGGAGACTTTCACACTGGGGGGGTCACCCTATCCTGGCATCCCAGTGGAGGAGCTCTTCAAACTGCTGAAGGAAGGGCATCGAATGGACAAGCCGGCCAACTGCACACACGAGCTGTGAGTGACTCTCTCTCTCTCTCGCCTCCATCCCTCCCTCACTTACTGCTTCTCATCTGCCTCCTCACTCTCTCCTGTTTGTCTCCCTCCCTCCTGTCTCCCTCCTCCCTCCTGTTAGAAAATAAAATCAGCCATAATCCGTTTGCAACCAGATATCACTGTTTTATTATTATTCGTTCGTTATTCCCCAATATCCCGATGGGTCAGACCAAAGGCCGGTACAATCAACAGATCTTATAACAGAATAATACCACCGTAGATATCTCGAGTTCAACACTGTGTCTTTCCAGCACACAAGCTTGATTCTTCATGCTTTCAGTCTTCTTGCTTACAGCTTTCAATCTTCCATCTGATATCCTCAGTCTTAGTGTTTCTAGCTCTCAGTCTTCCATCCTCCCGTACCCTTGTCTCCGCAGCCCGGGATGGCCCCATCTCCCGTACCCTTGTCTCCGCAGCCCGGGATGGCCCCATCTCCCGTACCCTTGTCTCCGCGACCCGGGACGGCCCCATCTCCCGTACCCTTGTCTCCGCAGCCCGGGATGGCCCCATCTCCCATACCGTTGTCTCCGCGACCCGGGACGGCCCCGTTCACAAAGTTAACGGAACTCTTATACCGATGTTCATCCAATCATGGTGCGGACATTAGACCACCTGCCGAAATCATGCTGGGTTCACGTGAACACCTCATGGGGTGTACGTGCCTCAGCACACACACACATTGTCCTTAAGACCCCTGTTATCTGATGCTTGTTATTTTGTAAGGTGGGATCATTAGTACATTCCTTTTAAGTGACTGGTTATTTCTTATCAGTATCCCGGGATGGTACCAAGGTCCTCTAGTTTAAGCAATTTGCTCATTAGCTGCTATTCTTGAGGGTTGCCTTTTGTTGCTCTTGAGTGTTAATCATGAGTGTCAGTCCAGTTGCCCCCCACACTTAACTTAAAAGTTAACCCATTCACAACATCTATTATGATTCTAGCAGTATACAAAAAGTGTATATTCTAACACTCCTGTCTCATTCCTCACTCCCACCTCTCTCCCTCTCTCCTCACTTACTCCCATTTCTCTCACTCACTCTCTCACTTCCTCCTGTCTCCCTCCTCCCTTCCGTTCTCATTCCTCACTCCTGCCTCCCTCCCTCTCTCCTCACTTACTCCCATTTCTCTCACTCACTCTCTCACTTCCTCCTGTCTCCCTCCTCCTTCCCGTCTACTTCCTATCTCCCTCTGTCTCAGAGTTCTCTCCTGCTGGCGTCTCGCAGGCTGTTTCCAATTAAAATCTTTCTGATCACAGTGCCCATCGCCCAAACCTCCAAGTAAACTGGGCATTGAACTTGGCATTGTGTTTGTGAGCATTCCCAGGGCAGTGCAGACATGTGGTGCTGGTGTTTGACGCTGTGTTCTGTGCCTCACTCCCAGATACATGATCATGAGAGAATGCTGGCACGCTATACCATCCCAGAGGCCCACCTTCAAGCAGCTGGTGGAGGACCTGGACAGAGTCCTGACGGTAGCATCGAATGAGGTAAGTTTACAAATTCCTTCACGCCCTGACACTTCCTTACCTTTCTGACCTCCTTTCTGCCCACTCCATTACCGGCTGCCTCCGCTCCTCTGGCCTCCTGCTTGTCCCTCGTCTCCTCCACTCCATCATCAGCAGCCACTACACCCCAAAACTCTGGAACTCTCTCAATCTCTCCACCTTGCCCCCTGCTGCCCCTCTTTTAGATCACAACTTCCTCTTCGACCGTGCTTACAGTCATATCCTCCCTCCTCTCGGCTCAACGCCAAGCTCCGAGACTGTTAAGTGCTCCGCAATACTACCTCTCCCTCAATCCTCCGGCTTGCCCACACCACCACCTGGGGGGGTTGGGGTGTGAGGGTAGAGACCAGATCAGTGAGTTTCTCCTGGTGTCCTAGCCAACAATCACCCCGCAAATAAAATTGGTCACTCAATCCCTGGCTGTTTGTGGAACACTGCTATGTGCAATTCGCTGCCGCATTTCGCCCACAAAATACACAGTCAATTCACTTTGCAGTATATGCTGTGAAGCACTTTGAGACTTCTCGAGGACGCAATAAGGCAACGTTTCGCCCTCGCGGGAATCAAACGCAAGTCTCTTGCTTGCGAGGCGAGTGTTCTAACCACTGAGCTACAGGACTCCACAATGGCTATTTGTTAGGTCAGGGTATTAAGGGATACCGGCAAGGGCAGGTAATTGTACTTGAGGTACAGATCAGCCATGATCTTACAGAATATAGGCTCTAGGGGCCGTATGGCCTACTCCGATTTCTATATTTTTAAGTATAATTATTATTAAGCCGTCTTTGGCTGACATGCTAAGTGGGAAACGTTCTGAACAACAGCCAATATTTGACAGGAATGATTTATTACTTTTATTATTATTCAAATACCAAATGCAATATATGCGACAGACTGTAACTTTACAATTCATTTTAGTGCATTTGAAATAATGTTTTATATAAATCATTTGATTTTTTAAAATATAAAAGCACACAAGATCGACAAAAGAGATAATCAGCACCCTTAAATATCCTTTTAAACTCTGATAGACATTCATTAAGCTATAGCTCAAAATCCTGAGTCTGAATTGCAATTTCATAACACATAACTACGTTCTAATCCTAGTTAGCACTTAAACAGCACCTTTCACAACATATCTCAAACCAATCAGAGCAACAATTTAGACTGTGTCACACATTTCACATAGGGTGAACGTCTGTTTTTTGGTCAGCCGGGTGACTCATTGCAGAAACCCATCACCATGCTTAAGAGTATCCAAACCAAGCTGAGATTTCCAGGCATCCCATCCCATCTACACATGGAGGTTCCAGAGATAGATTGTTGGAATGGAATCCGCCCTCTCTCCCTGGAGGGACACATCTCGCTTACCTAATTCCGGAAAGTATTAGGCGCAGGTTGGCAAGACCGAGCGGATTGTGTCTAATCAACTATACCCGCATAGCTTGCCATTGATAGGGTAAACGTCTCAGAGAGCTTTAAAGAGAAGGAGTAGGCTGGGTGAGGAAGATGGGAGGGTTAAGGGTCAGGAGGCTCCAGCAATCTGGTAGTTAAATCGCTTGTTACTGTTTGTGGGACATTCTTATGTGGAAATTGGCTGCCACATTTGCCTAACACCTACACAGACACAGTAGTTTATAGAAGAAAGTTTCTCCCGGTGTCCTGGCCAACAATCCCCCAGATAAAATTAGTCACTCACTCCGTGGTTTTTTGTGGGACGTTGCTGTGCACAATTTGGCAGCTGCAACCGTTCCCAAAATACAGACTATTATTTTGCATTTCAGTAAAACTCACATAAGTCATATCAGTCGGGACCCTAGCATTTAATATGACGTAAGCAAAGTCCAAGTTGCAAACAAAATGTATAAGCAATATAAAATTGGATTTAATCAATATCAGCACTACCCGCTGCCCCCGCTCGGCTGGCTCCGGCCTCTTGCTTGTCCCTTGTTCATGCATAATTCAGTAATTTCCTATGATTCAATGCAGCCGATAAGTACAGAAGTAATAGACGATGGGGGAATGGTGTTATGAGTAAGGAGGTGATTGATATGAGTAATGCAAATAAATCAAAGTGGTTTTGATAGAAAACTGAATGGGGTGAATGTACAACTTAGGTGATTATCCGATTTATAAGGATAAGACTTCTGTGGAGTCCTGTAGCTCAGTGGTTAGAGCACTCGCTTTGCAATCGAGAGACCTGAGTTCAATTCCAGGCAGAGGGCGAAACCTTGGGCAAGTTTCCTTACTCCACACAGAGCCTAATAATAATCCCTCCAAAACCAAAAACAATAATAAATTGGTCATTTTCAATCTACGACTGTTTGTGGGACATTGCTGTGCGCAATTGGCTGCCACGTTCGCCCACAAATATACAGTCAATTCACCTTACAGTATATTCTGTGAAGCGCTTTGGGACGTCTAGAAGATGTGAAAAGCGCTATATCAAATGCAAGGATTATTATTATTTTCTGTGACTTTTACTGTAAATTCTGAGAAGCGCTTTGAGGCATCTCAACGATCTGCTAAGTCGCTTTATCAAACACGAAGATTATTCTGATTACTTTTTTAAACCTGTTTATTTCTTCCCTCCATCTTTCAGGAGTACCTCGACCTGTCCGCGCCCTTCGAGCAGTATTCGCCTGCCTGCCAGGATTCCCATAGCACTTGCTCCTCGGGAGACGACTCAGTCTTTGCTCACGATCCCTTGCCCGAGCAACCTTGCCTTCCCAAACACCAGCAGCAGTGCAATGGTGTCATCAGGACATGAAACTGTGCTGATCAACCAGGCTGACAATATTACATTGAACCATGGACAGATCGCAACAGAGAAAACATAGGACACAAGCAAACTGGTCAATATGTCCTGTTTTATTTTCCCCATATGTATTTGAGCCTTACATCTTTTAAGTACTGTATCTATATTATATATATGTTATATATATATAACATATATATTTATGGGAGGATTAGTTGATGGGGGGAGCGAAACTTTTTTAAAAACAAAATAATAATAATTCTTGAATAGCTAGAAGCTGAAATCGAACTTGTTGCAAAAAACCTGGAGGGGATGATTTATTGACCTCAGGCATTGTGACTCCTACAAGCCACCAATCTGTGCCTGAGACCAGAACGCAAGCATTAGAGCAACAGGAAGACTGAAACAAAGCATTATTTTTCTTTACGTATATAAAAGAGAGAGAGAGAGTGTTTAAATAGTTTTTATTTGCGTGAAGCTGCAGATTTTCAGGACATTGTGTAAATATATAAATACGGATATGTATGATAATGTTTTTTTAAAAAAGGTTGTATACTTACAGGTTTGTCTGTTTGAGGAGAGGAGGGGGAGGGGGCGAGAGAAGGACTGGGGAATGGGGGGGAGAAGAGAAAAAGATTCACTGCTCATTATAACTACAAGGGGAGAGGACATGATTCCTACAGTCATCACAGTCTAGGGCATTTAGTATTAATCGTTTAAAGAAACTCATTCCACAAGGGGTTAAATTAATTACAAAAATAATTATTTGCAACCTGATTAGCATATTGTATATTTGTAAAGTTGTTTATAGACATTTAACATATCTTTTTTTTGGTTAAGAGATTTATAAGAATACAGCTTACTTACCCGGTCACTGTACACACCTTTAGTAACGTAACCTAGGTTCTGGATTTATTTTGTGTTTATTAATAAATTTTAATTTTAATTTATTACCCGTAAAATTGACTAGAGGCGCCGCAGAGCCAGGTTTTTCCGAGAAGCAAGGATTAGCGGCCAGTTTTGAAAGGCCATGTGGGGACAGAGTGCGTGAAATTTTATTTGATTTCAGATTGCAATGATTTTTTTTGCTGCTTTAGGATCTCGATTCCGTAACTCTTTGGTTTCTCTGCAATATAACAAGCCATGGTTTTGCTTTTTGGCTGACTTGTGTTTACGTTTCACAAGAAGAAAGTATGGGGCGAAGGGGGCACAGAGAGAGTGTTAGTGTGCATGAGTGTGTTCCCTAACTGCCTCATGTTCCCCCTCCCATTCTCTCCCATCTCCCCTTCATCCCTTCCCAGCCCTCTCTCCCTCCTCTCGTTCCCTCCTTCCCCCCTTTCCACCTAGCCTCTCGTTTCCTCCCCAATTCCTCTCTGTCCTCCCCCTCACACACAGACAAACCTTCGCCCCATTGGACCTGCGAAAAAGTCAGCCCTGCAAACATATGCACAAACTTGGTCCCTCTCCCACCACTGTTTGTGGGACATCACTGTGAGCAATTGTCTGCCACGTTTTGCCCACAAAATAGACAGTCAAATCCACTTTACAGTATATTCTGTGAAGCGCTTTGAGATGTTGCGACAATGTGATAAGGAGCTATATCAAGTACAAGAGTTATTATTATGGGGACATCCGTCACTCCTTCCCACTGTTAAACTGCGAGGTAATGATCACAGATGTCCTCGTTGTACCTTCAACCCTCCCCCCCCAAAAAAAAATCTTGCAGTCTCCTCCCATCATCAAGGAAGTGTGTAATGATTCTATGACCGTTTTTTGGTTGGGGTTGGGGGGAAGGAGAGGAGAGTTCTATGTTTTATGTAGATTATAAAAGCAGCCAAACCCCCTCCCAAAGCACGATGGTGAGACTGCTGTGGGCTCCTACCGTTTTGTGCAATGTTTGCAGAGGTTAAACCCTGTTTGTTTGAAGGGGGATTCATTTTTCTCTCTTTAAGACTTTTTTCTTTGCCGTCGAAAAAGACGTAGAAATGGCAAGTTGCGTTGTGGAGGGTATGCAAACAAATGATTTTTAAATAGGATTCCAACAATAACAATAAATGACAATTATATAGTGCCTTTCACGTCGGAAGAGCATCCCAAGGCACTATACAGTTAAGGGTTTGCTGGGGGTTGAATTCAAGAGACGTGGAGTTTGGGTGGGATTCCACAGTTAACATAGAAGTGTGAATTCCAGGATCCTGCTAAAAATCAGTAACTCATCCCGTTTTCCACCCCTCATTAGATCCGCAAAGCTCTTTTTCTCTTTCGAAAGGTTCATTCGAAAGCTGAAAGTGACCCTGTTTAACTCTCTCTCTGTGTCATAGAAGTAGGCGTTCTGTAGAGCTGTGTAATTTTTTGTAAAATCGCAAAGAAATAAAGTCAGTATTTTCTTACGCTGTGGAAAGTGTACATTCCAGGGTATCTAATGAATAAAACCAACCTTTTCCAATATTGAAATTTGTGCATGATTTACGCAAAAGAACTTAGATTATATATCTAATTTATTGAGTTTTTTAAAACAAAATGTATTGTAGCTTTGACCGAACTTTTAACATGATATCCGAATGTTCTTGTGGAGAGATTTGAAATTCTAAAAGCATTTTATTTGCAATAATAAATGGTGATCGTCTGATTTATATTCTGTGGTTTAGAGTGAGACATGTCACCTGACACATTCCAGTCTGGGGAATAATCGCAGAACTCAACTGAAAGAAAGCAAAAATTCTAATTCATATATAAAAAAAACTCTTTCCTCTATTTAAATGACAGAAGCCTGCAAAGAGTTCACAGATGGGTCTTGTTGGAGTTAAGAAACCAGCATTGATCAGAACCTTTGTGACACTTTGTTATTAACATGGAACTATTCCATTCCACAACAATAAAAAGATATTGTTTTAAAACATGTGTTCCTTCTCTTGTTCTTGTCTAACAAAGTATGTACGGCACTCAGCTCTGCCTATGATGGGACTTTGAGCTTCTGGTTTTAGGCTGACATTCCAGTGCAGCGCGGAGGAAGGGAGGGGGGGGGGGGGGGGATACATTGTCAGAGGTGCCGTCCTTTGTGTGAGACGTGAAACCGAGGTCCTGTCTCCCTGTTCAGGTGGATGTTAAAGATCCCATGGTGCTATTTGAACAGAGAAGGGAGTTGCCCCTGGCGCCTAGGCTGACAATTCTTCAGATAAAATTGGTCTTTCACTTCATAGCTGTTTGTGAACCATTGCTGTGAGCAAATTGCCTGCTGTTTTTCATTGCAAAATAAATAATAATCCTTGTATTTGGTATTTCGGGAAAGTGCCTTTAACATCGGAAGGACGTCCAAAAGTATTTCACAAGATATACCCTAAAGTGCAGTGACTGTGTGTTTTATAGGCAAACAAATTACACAGTCAAGATTCACTTTATGGTAAACCCTGCAAAGCACTTTGCAACATCCTTCCAGCATGAAAGGCGCTACATCAAATGCAAGGATTACTATTATTGTCACTGTACTGGAGTGTCAGCCTAGATTGCAAGTCCACGTCCTGACATGAGGTTTGAATGCACAACCTTCTGACCCCGAGGTGAGAGTGATACCAGGCTGACACAGCAGCAAGTATGGCTTCCAATTACAGCTCAAGCCCTACATGAACCGACAGAATGTTCAGAGGTTGCCTGAAGCCTTGTCAAGTGAATCCTTTCAATCCTGTCTGGAAACAGAGCAGCTTGCCCTTGCTTCAATGAGTCGCCATCTCCCCCAGCTCCTATTGTGACAAGTGAGGATTGAATGTATCCTAAATGCTGTTTGTCAGTCCACTGCCACCATAAGGGATTTGTTCTGAACCAGCTTGCATTCTGATGTAAAACTTTCCCCTTTGTAAGCGGGAGCAACTGGATTTAATCAATAGGCTTGCTTGGTGCAAAGGTACAGCAGGACTTGAGGTCATGTTGCCCAGTGTTGTAATAAAATAATAATAATCCTTGCATTTGATATAGCGTTAACAACAACAACTTGCACTTATATAGCACCCTCCGTGCAGGGTAGCGTCTCAGAGCGCTTAAATGTCAGCGTTAAATCTACTACAATATATTCTGTGAAACGCTTTGAGACGTCTCAATTACTTGATAAGGCACTATATCAAATGCAACGATTATTATTACTATAAATAGCGCGTTGCCTTTCTCTGTAGATGCTGTGCTGGGTTGTTCACATTTTCACGTTCTGCCCCAGCAACCAATTTGCGCAGAATAACGTCTCGCAAACAGCCATGAAGTGACTAAGCAATTTCATCTGGGGCATTGCTGTGAATGAGTAATTTCATCAGCGCCTTGGGACGTCCTCCCAATGTGAAAGGCGCTATACAAATGTAAGTTGTTGTTGGCCAGGACAGGGGGAGAGACTCCCTTACCTTTAAGCACAGTGCCATGCGATCTTAACTTCCACTTAAAGAAGCAACTGAGGTACTCACTGTCCATGAGCACCTCACAAATTTCTAGAATTTCTCACCTCAAGTGTGAATATATTTGGCGGTGATCAAGGTCTGAAAGGAAGAGACTATTTCCTGAGAGGGCAGTTTTCCTCCTTAGTGTCTCCCAAAGCGGCTGGCTGTGTATCCTAGCTAGGGGTGGGTACCCAAGGAAGGGGAAAATGATCAAAAGTGAGTCAGAGAAGTACGCTTACACACAGTGTGTGTTATTCCTCTATCATTAAAAGAAACGAGTGACTTCATTTTCAGCGATTTTCAAGCTAGTCTCTGTCTACTGTCTTATTAGTTTACCTAATTTTACCTTTAGACTCCAGCTGCCTGTAGGATTCAGTCCCATGTGGTCAGGCTGGTCTCCCAGGCTGACCTGGCTCCTGTCTTAGGAATGTTCTGACCTCCACATCCTGTCTCCAAGTCTGACTTCCTCGCAGGGCTCCTGGGCTGGGGCAGGCAATGAAAAGCTTTTTGCTTAGGATGGTAATAGATTTTCTTTTCAAGTTTATTTTGTTGCAAAACAAGCTGCCGCATAATGTGAGGGGCACTTTGGTGCTAGCACAGGCAAACAGGATGTTGCAAATAAGCACTCTGGGATGCTATCCTGCATGAGGGGTGCTCTATAAATGCAAGTTGTTGTTGTTGATGTGGTTTGCGAGTCACAAATGAGTCACATTGTTGTTCTTTCTTCTTCACTATAGTGTAGTTGGAAGTGCACGGTTAGTGGTCCCTCTGGGTCAGAAAGGTTATGGGTCAAACCTCACATTGACACTTGAGCTCATAGTCCAGGCTGGCTCTCCAACGTAGTACTGCCTGCAAATACACCCACCACCTTACAGTATATCCTGTGAAGCTCTTTCAGACATCCGGAAAAAGTGATAAGACGCTATATCAAAGAATTCTGATTATAGTACTCAGGGAACACTGTGCCGTCCGAGACAATCTAGTGACTCGATCTAGGTGAGGCACAAGATTGTAGTCCCGTCTAGCTGTTCAAGAGTATGCTAAAGATCCTATGACACTCTTGTGTCCCGGGCAACAATCCTCCAGCTTTAATTTGGTCATTCACCTCATGACTGCCTTGTTTGCCTATAAGACCAGTTGATTCCCAGGCGGGTCAAACCTTAGGCATGTTTCCATACTCCACACGTCTCTGTTTACCTAGTGGAAAGTAGGAACCTGGTTGTTAGTCGGTTAACGGATCGCTTTCTGGGGGCTAACAGTCCCTCAAAAAACAATGTGGTCACTCAATCCATGACTGTTTGTGGGACACTGTTGTGTGCAATTGGCTGACGCGCTTTGCCCACAAATATACAGTCAATTCACTTTACAGAATATACTGTGACGCGCTTTGAGACATCTCAACTATGTGATAAGGCGCTATATCAAATACAAGAGATTATTATTATTACTTCACTCAACAGTAATTGCCTGCAAAATGGTATGAGGTGTTTTGACACAAAAAGGAGCTATGAAAAAGTCTTTCTTTGTGAAGATGCATAGACAAGCTTCTGAAATAAGCTACTCAACAAAGCCTCAAAGACTACAGTCTCTTTAAAGTTCTCAAATGGAGAGAATGCTGCTAATAATAAAGAAAAGATAGTGCCTTAGTAAATACTAATAGTATAATAATAACAGTATCACATAATAGTAATATTAAATGAAAGGATTATTATTATTATAATTGAGATGTCTCAAAGTGTTTCACAGAATATACTGTAAAGTGGTGTGATTGTGTGTTTTATGGGCGAACACTGCAGCCAATTTGCACACAGAACATCTCACAAACAGCCATGGAGTGAATGACTCGTTTTAATTGGGGAATTGTTGGCCAACAAATGGGGGGGAAATTCCAACTGGGTTTAGATCTACTCCATCTTTTTAACATTTCACAGTGTCCAGAATTTGGCAAATCTTTGTAAACACAGTCTTGATTTTGAAGCTATTTTTCTGCAAGTGTAGGGTAATTTCATGCATGAGGACGGACCATTTGGCTGACAAGCCACTAGCCCTGCCCCTGTGCTACTCTGTGAACTAAATTTAAATCCCATTTTTTTCATTGAGCATTTGGAAATCTCTTTGACATACTCCTTATAACCACATTGGAAAATAGTTTACACCCAATATGAATGTAACATGAAGGTTTTAGATGTCACAGTTTGGTGGTGAATCTGTGACGATTTCGTGAAAATGACCCACCTTTTATTTACACAATAAAAATCTATCACTTCACAGATTTACTATAAAGTCTAGTGACTGCATTTATTTTCTAGCACAAGCATGGCAGCCAATATGCACACAGCAATATC